TTAATTTACATTTATAATTTTTAGTGAATTAGATTGAAATATTAAATATTTGTTTTTGATGTCTTTTAGTTATTTTTTTTTACATTTTCATAATAATTCCACGTTAAGGTTTTAGTATGTATTGAATTTGGCATGGGATTTTGAGAAATGAACTAAATCAAGTATTTTCAAAATAAATTTATATAAAAATATAAATTTTCAGTTTTAAAATTCAGTTTTTATATTATTATTCGACTATAATAAAAACGTAGTTGATTTGCTAGAATTATTGAAATCACATGTTTACAAAATATAAATTTTGAACATTTTATACTGAAAAATGGGTTTTCAGCAATAAAAATGCAACTAAACTAAAACAAAAAAAAAGTAAATGAACACGAAATATGTACATAATACAGATGTTCGAAGGACTGAACGAAAAGTTACATATTTTAAACTGAAAAACATTTTACTTTTTTTTCAGCGATGCGAATCAGAGTAAATATTTGAACGTACGCCTGTGGTTCCTGAAAGGTTAATAGGTGTATTTAAAGGATATTTAAAAATAGTATTTAAGTGGGAGAGGGCAGATGAAACGAGAGAGGAAAACACGAAGGAGAGTAGTGTTTCGTATTTGACGTGGGGTTGTTGTTATTATTGTTAAATATTGGTGTTTGTTTGCGTAGACGGGAGATTCTTCCCTCCAGAAGTCTGGCGCCAGAGGTGTCGCTCCTCCTTCAGGCAAACGGATGTTCCTCGTCATCCAATTCCCTCTTATATTTTCTTTTCACTTCACCTAGACGAGAGACCCAGATGAAATTACTCTTTTTTCTCGTCTCATCTCTTCTTCATTCCTCAAACCGCAAAAGTCGATCGAGAAAGTTTGAATGAATGCACTACGGTCAATCGAGGACAGTAGACATCCCTTACTCAAACGACGACCCCTTTTTCTATTTTTCTGCTACGTACACACACGATGATGATGATGATGATGAGGATAATGATGATCATCTTCCGCATCGTCACACTTTCTCTATGAAAGAACCCCCGGTAAACACCCCCGCCGCGTGCCCAGCCTACCGTGCAAATCACCCATTTAAAACCGTTTTATATGTATTTTCATGTTTCATTTGCATTCTTTGTCCCTTAGTCTCTCTCTCTGACTCCTAAACCAACCCCACCGTTCGTCCCAACCCCACCCAATTCCGATTCAATTAATTCTCCTTTTATTTCAACTCTCATTGAAACCCTTCTTCTGGATTCTGCACCCTCTGAATCTTTTTTTTTACTATTTCACAACCGAAACTGTTTTGCAGAAAATCTTCCAATTTTGTTTTGGGACGAAGAAGAGAGAAAGGTTTTGGAAAGGTTGGAGAAACCGGGAGGATTATACGCACGTTCCATTGTCGATTGTTGTTGTTGATGGTGGGGAGGGGGTCTCATCATTAGGGAAGTCCGGTAGGATTTACGCACAATTGTGCGAATGGACAACATCGCCATTGATGACCGAATAGCAGCATTATACGTTGACACCATTAAATAGCCTGTTTGAGTCTATCTTCCGACTAATTCCCATGTCCGGTGGGACAACAAAAACTGAATACACCAGAACCGCACAAAGCATCCAAAGAATCTTCACACAACATCAACGATATCTTCGTAACAAACATAATCGTTTAATACATTCGTTTTCAAACATACCTTCAAAGTTACCATGTGAAATACATATGATTCTAAAACGAAACGAAACAATATTTTTAGTCATTTTCATGCTGGAAACAACAACTAAACTTAACTAACTTAACTAAAAACAACATAATTTATTCATTTTATAGACGTAGAGATTAAATCTGAATACTATTTCTAAAATTAGTATAATAATTTACAAAAAATCTGCTTTTTGGAGCAAAGAGCTCTGTTAAACAAATATTTACAGAGCCGCACGTAATGATAAATAACCATAGAACCAATGAATTAGTTAATAACTTAAAGAGCCGCAATTACTCATTTAAAGAGCTGTATGCGGCTCCGGAGTCGCGGATTGCCGACCTCAAATCTTTTACATCACTTATTAGTATGTATTTCTCACATTTTTCTCCAATAATTCTATAAATAATATATTGAACACTTACTGATTTCATTACATTTCGATTAACTTCACTAAATTATATAAATTTGTATAAATTTCTTACATTGTTTCACTATTCAATTTACGTTACAAACGTCAAACATAACTGACATTTTGAATACTATTTCTAAAATTAGTATAATAATTTACAAAAATTCAGCTTTTTGGAGCAAACAGCTCTGTTAAACAAATATTTACAGAGCCGCACGTAATGATAAATAACCATAGAACCAATGAATNNNNCTTATTAGTATGTATTTCTCACATTTTTCTCCAATAATTCTATAAATAATATATTGAACACTTACTGATTTCATTACATCTCGATTAACTTCACTAAATTATATAAATTTGTATAAATTTCATATATTGTTTCACTATTCGATTTACGTTACAAACGTCAAACATAAATGACATTTTGTTTATTATTTTCACAACATACTTGGATCATTATGTAAATCATAGATATGACAAGTAAAATGTCAAATTAAAAACAATTAAACACTTACTGATTTCATTACATCTCGATTAACTTCACTAAATTATATAAATTTGTGTAGATTTCTTATATTGTTTTACTATTCAATTTACGTTACAAACGTCAAACATAAATGACATTTTGTTTATTATTTTGACAACATACTTGGATCATTATGTAAATCATCGATATGACAAGTAAAATGTCAAATTAAAAACAATAATAATATTCTCAATTTTAATTCTATAAACGGAAAATCTTTAAAAAGTTTTAATGCAATTCAATTTGCTTTCCATCTAAGCAAATACGACACTTTTTTCCACCCCATTTACATTCAGTCCCCAAATTCAGTCGGATTTATTTTAGTTTGTTCTTTTTTGTTATGTTTAGTTTTCACTTTTTCGACACTCCCCCTTCTTCTCTTTCATAGCCTTCTCGCTCACACATTCGTTATATCATTTTTGCTCGATCTCTTTCTAATTCTCTGTATATTTGGCTTTCTAGATTACGTTGCGTGACATGCGAGCAACGCAGTCTGCGCTGTCCTTTAATAGGATTTGATAGTGTATGTTTTGTTACAATTACACATGTAACAGATGTAAAACGCGCAGCATTACACACGGGATTAAATCGATTGTTTCGATAGGGTGAAAAAATTCGAATGGAATAAAATATATATTTAAAAAAAAGAATCATAATTCGTGCTTTGTGCAATCATCTGTTACTTACGTTATATTTCTGTTAATCATGATACTTTTAGTTCAAACTTTATGGTTATATACTTACATTTTTCTATATTTTTCTGTGATATTATAATTATTTAATTTTTTTTTCATACTTTCCTTTACTTAACAAAAAGATCATTTTAACAATTATTTTATTTTTCGTGTTTTGTGCAATCATCTGTTACTTACGTCATATTTCTGTTAATCATGATATTTTTAGTTCAAACTTTGGTTATATACTTACATTTTTCTATATTTTTCTGTGATATTATAATTATTTTATTTTTTTTTCATACTTTATTTTACTTAACAATTATTTTATTTTTTTCATTAAAAAGTTTGAAACTTTATTCAAAATAACTTAAGATTTTATAAAATATGTGTAATTCTAACAAACATATTTTTGAAAAATTACTCATTTTATATTTTCTTAAATTTTTTTTAATGAAATTGAATTGATATAAATAAAATTAAGACAACACAAACAAATGCATGTTATTATTCACTTGCACATTAAAATAATAGTTTTTTATGATATAATTTAATCTAAAAAGTTTATTATGATAAAACAAAGAAATAAAGTGAAATTATAAAAATTTTCAAAGTAAAATAGTCTAATCAAATAAGGAGGTTAAATTAATATAAAATCTAAAGTGATAACAGTACAAAATGTATACGTAATTTAATTTAATTTAATAATTTAAAAAAAAATATGTAAACTAATACATTTTTTTGTATTGAAGTATTTCATTAATTACTCATAACGTTAAAATTACTGATTTTTCTTTTAATATTTGAAAAATAATAATTACTGATCCTTATTTTTCATCATTCTAATTCATGAGTTTTTATCATTAGAAAGAAGAATTTTTTTTAAATTTCTGTGTATTTTATATATTTAGTTGAAATTGTAAATGTTTTCATTTATTCAGTAATATTCAATGAATAAAATGTAAAAAAAAAATGTATGATTCAATTTAACATTTAATGTGTGTTGTTAAAAACAAATAACCTATTGTTTTTAACAGATTTAGATATGTTTCATTGTTATTGCTTTATTATAGTTTTGTATTATGTTGTAGAAGTAGATGTAAAAGATTCTTTCGTTTCGTTTAGAATCAATTTGATTTTATGTAATCATTCACTTATGCATTGAAACGTCGGATGATGGTTTGAAGAATTCGGGATAAAAATTCGGTCGTCTTTCGATTGATATGCGTTACGTAACAAGCCGCGTCTCTATCTAGGCGTAGCGTGCACGTTCGAAGTATGTAGGCAGGGTGTGTTTGTGTCTGTGTGTGTTTATACGTCCATATAGATGTATACAGTGGGAGAAATCAATAATCATGTAGCTTTTGCCTATGGGGTGTAAGTGTGCATGTGTATGTATGTACGTGTGTGTGCGTGTTATATATATATATACGGATATATAGATATACAGATATAAAGCGTCACCGCTACCAATATAAATTACATTTCCACCAAGGTGACATAGAGCCCACTTTAACACTCACCTCTAGTTAGGTGTATGGCTCGATGACAGTGGCCTCGCCCCCCCGGCTCTGCGATACTCTGCTCCCATTGGTCACAACATCTGACAGTTACCGTGACGACGACCAATCGGTGGAGGGAGTCCCGCCTCCGGACTGCTCACGCACAGGAATACGAGCGGTCTCCGGGCCAGTGTCAATCCGCGCTCCAGACGGTGTACGCTGCCGCCAAAACACCTGGAGGAGGATCATACAAAGAGCTAACAAGAAAAGAAAAAAACCAAGCACGAGCAAAAAGCTAATATTACATGATATACTTGTATATTAGTATATGATAGCGAGTTCGGTCGTAAACGAGTTGTGTTTATTGTTGTTGTTCGAAGTGTTATTGTTGTTGTTGTTGTTCTTCAAGTTGTTGTTTAAATTGATTTTGGTGTCGCGAAAAGAAAGCTGGCGACGCAAATGGCCTTGGGGATGACCCCCGGATTGTGTTCCGGAAGTTCCGGGGGCCATTCGGACACGTCGTCCTCGTCTCCGGGAGCGGTCAGCGTCCCGATGCCGGTGGCGCCGACGCCTCTATTACCTAACCCGATGTTCGCATTACCGACGTTGAACTTCACCGTCTCCCAAGTCGCAGCGGTGTGCGAAACCCTTGAAGAGAGCGGCGACATCGAGAGGTTGGCGAGATTCTTGTGGTCGTTGCCCGTCGCCCATCCGAACATCGGAGAGTTGAACAAGAGCGAAGCTGTTCTGAGGGCGCGCGCTATAGTCAGCTTCCACAGCGGCAATTTTCGTGACCTTTACACCATCCTCGAGACGCACAAGTTCACGAAGAGTTCGCACGGAAAGCTGCAGGCGATGTGGCTGGAAGCGCACTATCAGGAAGCGGAGAAGCTGAGGGGACGCGCTCTCGGCCCCGTCGACAAGTATCGCGTTCGCAAAAAGTTCCCGTTGCCCCGCACTATTTGGGATGGGGAACAGAAGACGCACTGCTTCAAGGAGCGCACCAGGAGTCTGCTGAGGGAATGGTATCTGCAGGACCCGTATCCGAATCCGACGAAGAAGCGCGAACTCGCCCAGGCCACGGGACTCACGCCCACCCAGGTCGGCAACTGGTTCAAGAACCGCAGACAGAGGGATCGAGCGGCCGCCGCTAAAAACAGGTCAGATTCCCCTTATATTTACCAACGTAATCACCACCTCAACCTCAACCTCGACGACGAAGACGATGATGATGACGACGATGACGATCGCTTTACTTACATCGACGTGCTCTAACACTCGTTAAAATCACCTGAAAACACAAAACTTATGTTAAAACCATTTTTATATATATTATTATTATTAATATTCTATTTTATTATTAGTTAACAATAAAAAAAAACATAAAAATTATAAAAAACAATTATTATTTTCAAGAATAAACCTTTGAGAAAAGATTCAATAAATCAATAATCATAAATGAATTGGAAAAACCAAAACATTTACACTTAATTCAATTAAATTTCATTTCAAGAAAACGTTTAAATTCTTAATTGACAATCAAAGAAAATGCTTGTGAATAACAACACAATTTTCACAATATAATTAGAAATGAACATATTTAATTATTACTTAAAAAATTAATACATTTTAAACTTAATCGCATTCATTTAAAACTGTAACATTTTATATCAAAAAAAATATATTTTCAACTTATTATTTTAATAAATTCGTTAATAACATGAACGTTTCACTAAATTATAAATTTAAGAATTTTTTCTTCTTATTAAACCATTTCCTAAACGGAATCTGCCTTTCATTAAAACATTAAAAAAAAACTTAAGACAAATTAAATAATTTTCTACCAAAATGGAATTTACAATTTAATTACAGTAAAAAAATATAAGAGGGGAAAAATAAAAGAAAAACTTTTCTTTTAAAGAAATTCTAAAGATATTAAATATTAAAATCAGTAGACTTAATATGATATTAAATAGATGAAGAAGGAAAAATCAATGATTACTTTGAAACTTATTACAAAATATGAATTTAATAAAAAAAAATAAATTGATGAGTTATAACTGTATTGAATTAACAATAATAATGATAATATAAACATTAAAGAAAAAAAACTTACGTTAATAATATAATTTGACTTAATATATTAAAAGATTAATTCAAAAATAATGTTATAATTTTTTTTTATAACAAGAAAAATGTTACTTGAATAAGATTCATATGAAATATCATTGAGTTAATGAGGTCAGCAGTATATGTATATAAAAAAAGAGCATAATTTAACGGTATGATGTGCATTAACTTGTAATGATTGTAACATGATTTACGAGGAAATAATTGAACTTAAAATAATAATTTCTGAATTATTCAGTATTTTTTTTTGTGATAATTGCATTAAATATTTTGAAAATTTTCATGTAATTAAAATATTTTGATTACAATTAACTGATTTATAATAATAAATTTATTTAAATCTTCTTTTAAGCAAAACTGAATTGTTTTCGCCTTCTCGATGATATTTAAAAAAAAATCGTGACGAAAAGCACGTAAAATGAAAGTGCAAACGATTCATAACCATTTAATGAATGAACAAAACTGTTTAGTGCGTATTTAGTTAGCATTCCTACAGTTTTTACTGCGTCTATTGTAAATCATGATTAGGCGCTAATATTTGGATGGACGGAAAAAAGAAAAGCGTTTAGGGATGAAGCCTTAAAGGACAAACACGAACACAAAGGGCCGTCGGATGACGGTGGCTAATCTTGCGAGCGGATTATCGTTAAGGGCTAAACATCGCCAATTGTCCGACCGTCCTTAATCGTTCATCCAACAATAATATTGGCAAGTTCCCGTTTCTCACGTACCGGAGGAGATTAACCTCGTGCAAACAATAAAACAGATAATAAGAAGTTTCTGCTAATACCAAACATATGTTTTTCGCAAACTCTACGGAATGATGGAAAACCCCAACGAAAACGTGCCCAGCAACGATATTGCAAGTATTAAACGAAATTGAGCACTCACAGATTTTCGAATCTTCAATACTTTGGGTTATCCGATTTTAGGAATTATTTTTTAATTAGAAAGTGAACGTAATTCGAAACATATTTAAGTAAATGTTACTAAACGGAAAAATTACTTCATGATAAAAACATCAATTTTCAATACTTTTAGATTTTAGGTATTTTTTTTTTAATTAGAAAGTGAACGTAATTCGAAACATATTTAAATAAATCTTAATAAACGGAAAAATTACTGCATAATAAAAAGTCACCAGAAAGTTCATCAATTTTCAATACTTTTAGATTTTAGTTTTTTTTTTAATTAGAAAGTGTGTGTAATTGGAAACTTATTTTGTTTTGATGTCAGTTTGATTTGCAGTTGTTTTAACAGTGTTGATGTCCGGTAGTTACGCCACTGGTCTAAGTGTTTGTAATTGTTAAACGTTGGTAACCCGAAGGGCGGAGATGCGGTCGAAGCTCTTCATCATCATCATCTTCGTGCATTATCTTCCCATTGGTACCACCATGGTACAATTTCTTTTTGTTTTGTTTTTTTTTTCTTATAATAAGTGATAGATGGGTATTCGAGGCGGTATCGGTAATTGAGAGGGTGCCCGGTCCATAAATCTCTTCGGTTGCCACCAGAACTAGGCGAAGGCGTGCAATTAAAATCCCCTAAATTTTCGGAGTTGGCATCAAGTGAAATTCCCTGACTACATTAGGAGTCGCTTAGGATATGAAAGGGAGAGGGGGGTGGGTTGGGGTTCGCTTTTTGGGCGACCCATTCGAAAGGGTGAAACGAAAACTAACTTCTCTTCAGCGTGTGTGCTCGAGCATGGGAAAGCGTACCTAAACCTAACCTAATAACAGTAATCGCATATTATGGGGTTGCACAAAAGCGGCGCACAATGCTGAGCCAACAACCCCCCTACGAGCAATCACATCTCTTGCCTTGATGCAATTTGCCTCGCTAGCACACAGCCTCCGGCTGCGGATCACGAAAACACACATGCAAAAACTTAATGAAAACAAAAGTCACCAAACCAGAGGACGATCAAAGATCTACAAAAATCCGTATACTTAAATGTACTTTGTATTATCAACATTATCAATTCCGCCATAATTGAAGCTCCAATTTAATCATACCAAGAGAATTATACAAGTAAATACGATAATAATGAAAACTTACCAGATCTTCAAACCAATCACTTAAATAAACGTCAAAAGAAACAATGGATTGAAATAATGCAATTCAAGTTGCCGATCCACATTAAATCATCCGTATAAAAATAAATGTTACTAAACGATTCAAAACTTATAAGAAACCAATTAAATGCACAACACTTAGAAAATATGGAAAGTTCATCAATTAAGAATAATTACTGAATATCATTTCAATTAATTGAACGAATCATTTCGTAATTAATGGAAAAGTCCAATAATTGTTACAAAAAATAATACCACATTAATTAAAAAAAATAATATTATTACCAACGCGAAAATGTTGTATAACTAAAAATTACTAAATTATTACACAATACTATAAGAAACTAAGAACAAATCTGTTGAATTGTGGATTAAACTAATAAAATAAAAAAAATTATATAAAAATTTTGATGACATTAATCAAAAAAAAATTACCAACGCAAAAATATTGTATAACAAGAAAATACTAAATTATTACACAATATAATAAGAAACTAAGAACAAATCTATTGAATTGTGGATTAAACTAGTAAATTAAACAAATTATTTAAAAATTTTGATGACATTAATAAAAAAAAAATTACCAACGCAAAAATGTTGTATAACAAAAAAATACTAAATTATTACACAATACTATATAAGAAACTAAGAACAAATCTATTGAATTGTGGATTAAACTAGTAAATTAAACAAATTATTTAAAAATTTTGATGACATTAATCAAAAAAAAAATTACCAACGCAAAAATGTTGTATAACAAAAAAATACTAAATTATTACACAATACTATAAGAAACTAAGAACAAATCTATTGAATTGTGGATTAAACTAGTAATTAAATAAATTATTTTAAAATTTTGTATATTGAAAAAGAAAAACAGTTATGATTTATTACTTTTTTTCTTAAATTAACAGAAATCATTGAAAATCGTTTTCAATTTTTAATGGACGTGTAAACGTGTTTCCGAGTCAATTAAAAGTAATATCGTTAGAGTAATTGTTTCTGGAAACCACATGATAAATTAGAAAAGCTATTACTGTAATCTAATTTTGAAATCGAAACAAATCGCTATAAATAAATGCAGACAAAGATGATGATAATGATGACACGATGTTAATTATAAATAATTACTTTAACATTTTGTAATTGTTTAGTGAAATGTTATTATTTAGTGATTAGTTTAAAAAAAGTTGGTAATATATTTAAAACAATTTTAATTATAACTTAGAGATTTTTGTTTGTTAATCATTAATAGTTGGTAATTAAATAAATAATTAAGAATATAATGATAATTTTTGATTTTGTTGAAAAATGTATGCAAATATAACGAATAAATTTGATTTTGTTGTAAGAAAACTAAAGTGTACAGCAAAGAAAATGATTGCTTTTTTTTTTGGGAAAGTTTACGAAGCAAATATAGAAAATATCTACATTAGATCAGTATTGTTCGTTCGTCGAATCAATGAAAATTTGCGTCGAAAATCGTTATTTAATTACCACTATTGGCGGACGTGAATGAATGCGACGAATTTTGCTTCGCTATCGCCGCAATGGATCTACTACACATGTTTAAAGTTCCGAAAAAAAAAGAGAGAAGCAAATTAAAGACGAGTTTTTGAACAAACACATGTAATAATTTCCACGACTTCATTAAATTATCGTTAATCCGAAACTTCTTTTCACCGTTTCCTGCGATTTCCTGTCATTACATCGACGACTTTTGTTTTCGGTTTAATTCAATTACGAAACGCAATTAGCGTCTACATACATACAAAAAACAGCACAAAAGAAATAATAAAGACAGATGAATTACAATCTGATATTTACAAACTTATATAACGCCATCTGTTTTGTTTAAATAAAGTTACCTTTGTTTTAACCTAAAAATTATTGTAACCTTGGAAATGTCAAATAAAATTTGGTTGATTGTATAATTACTTTTTAAAATGCATCGAGTAGTTTCACTTTAAAATCGCTTAAAATTACTTGTCATTCAAACGACGGACATCTAAATCACTTCCTGTCAATCAAAATTTTTCATTGACATCTTGATCTTATCAGTTGTAGAACGTATGGTTCC